TCATCCGAACTGTCAAACGGCGTTCTTCAGCAGATTCAGCAGATTGTGAAGCAAAATCCAAGTCTCCTTGATAAAGGTACAGAGGAGTTGGAGACTGTTCTAACAACACTGGCAGCTCTCCCCTTCAAAGATGAAGTCCAGCAGGCTAACTTCCTGGAACGTGTTCAACGTTTGGAAGGCAACCACATCATCCAGGTTTTCAATTTAGGCGTGTCGCCTCTTCAGGAGTATTTCCCAGAGTCTTCAGCCGAATTTCTTGAAGAAGTGATCAAGCTCTTTGAAATTTGCTTTTCTTTCTGCTACACCACTGACGTGTCAAAGCGAGTTGCTTTTGACTATTACGTCAGAGCTTTGAAATTCTGCTTCCCTTCGGAGCCAAAGCAATGCTTGTCAACTTCAGCTGTTTGCAAATTACTCGAACTTGTACAGATTTTTCAAGAAGGGAAGCTCGCTCACATTGCCAGTAACGAGACTGAGAGTCCAGCCAATTTAAGGAACTTGCAATTCAACGGAACCAGTTATCTGTTTGGTGAACTCCTGCAGATATTTGAATCCCGGCGACACGACGACTACCTTGTGGAAATTATCGAGCAAACAGTGCGGTTAGCTTCTGCAGATGCAAACGTAAAATGCATTCAACAACATGCAATCGGAGAAGTGACATTGCGGAACGAAAACGTGGTTTCTCCAGTTTTCGTGACAAATTGGATGAAACTTCTCAAGTTAACAAATGTGAGCAATGACTTTGCAGTCTCTTTAGCAAAAGTTGACCGCCTTCGTTGCACAGAGCGAATTACACCCGTACCATTCTTTTTAGTCGGCCTCATGTTACGAAGTAACCTTACTTACGAGTCCACCGTTTGCTTTTTTGCGAGGGTTCTAGAAGAAATGGAGAACGAAGGCGTCAAGGTTAGCTTCCCCAATGACAAGGACAGATTGGACATATTCTTCAACCATTTGAATCACTTCAACTGCAATGATCGTGACGTGACAGTGATATCACTAAGGCTATTGGCGGCTACGAGCATTAGCAATGGAGTTCTAAGAGAGGTGCTTGACAAGTGTTTTTACAAAGAGATGGTACCGCCGATAGAGGTTGTTGTTGGGAAAAACGCGTTGGAACTGCTCTTTAAAGTTTTATCGTTATTCCCTGACGGAGAAGTGGTTAAGAAAGTTTTGACGTTCTGGAGAGAAGCCTTTTCTGAAGATCCGGGTTTCCAAATGCTAGAATGCTTGTTGAGCCTCTTCGACGAGGAAGCATCAAACTGCGAAAGAGCTGTTTTACAGGAAAGGGCAGAAAGAACATTGGATTTCTTAGAATGGCTTCCTCTCCCCATAGTTCGTTTGATAAGCGTTTGGCACAGGTTCTTTTGCTGCTTTATAAGGATATTTCCATCTACGTTCCATCGGCGTGCAGAGGTATTGGTTTTTATTCACAAAGCCGTTCGAGTGCCAACCGAACAACGCCAAGCTTATTTCTTCTTTGAACAAGACCCCGCTCTTCCGTTGTTGGAATGGATTTCTCAGCAAAGCTGCACAGAGGAAATGAAGAGTGAGATGATTTGGCTTCTCATGTGTTCTACGGACAGAGCAGTGGGCCGCAACTGGGTGATTGATACTGGGGTTATCAGATCACTAGCCTTGTGCCCGCGGCTGCAATTTAGCACCAAGAAATACACTGTTCGCGAGCTGAATGAATTTGCCCCATTCTTCAAGGAGCTAGAGGAAAAGTATTTAAAAGAATTCGTCGAAAAAGTCCTATCTAATGAAACTCTTGAATTTATGGATGAACTCTTCTTTGAGTTTCTTCCCTTCATCCAGCGTTTCTTAGACAAGCAGAGGCCCAGCACCATCCCTACAGACGTCTTGAAACTTCTGTCTTTGCTGTCAAGAGTTTCAATTTCCGGTACAAGAAGAGTGAAAGTAATCCAGATGTCGAAGGAATCTGGAAAAGGTTTGCTGAGTGGGCTTCGCATTTTGCAGTTAGTTGAAATGTATCAATGTGTCGTTAAAGAAAGAACAAATGAATATTTTGATCTTCTTGTCTCTGTACTGGCTGAGACTCTCAAAGGTGACGAAGAATTATGTGAGATTTTTTACAACCAACATCGCTGCATTTTTCCTTCAACCGAAGTTCTAAAGGTCTGGACTACTTCAGTCGCTGAATTGATATCTCTGGGTTCGTTCAAAGAAGACACCGAATCGCGATGTTGCTGTCCTGTTCTGCAACGAGCTGGGGAATTTAGTTCTCCGTCTGAGATTTCACAAATTCTCACACAAGTAAGGTCAACTGCCGAAAGTGTTGTCCACTTGTCAAGCCAAGGCATAGTGAAGGCTCCAGCATCCCGTGATTTTCAACCTACTTCACAGGGGAGTTCCACTGAGCAAACCGATCCCCTTGAAAACTTTGTTGAAGCGCTCAGGATCATTCTGGATACAGATGTGTTATCGTCTTGCGAGAAAATGCTGCTGGTAAAGAAAGTATGTGACTACGTTATTAGCACACCCGATATTTTAACATCAACAACCTTGAGCAATGCCTTGACGAATTTGATCCCTTGTACGTCCTGGCGACAAAGTACCGTTTCATCAATTGAAGAGCTAGGCGTCAGCCAGGAGTGTCGTTGCATCGTAACCGTCATGGAACATCCCACAGAATTCTTTCAGCTGTCGCGCAGAATCCCATTCAGCTTAAACGATTCTCTATCTTCCGTTCTCTTCAGAAAGACTGCAAACTCATTTCCAACAGATAACATCGTGGATATATTTCTTTTCATTGGCTCACTAAAGGACCTAGATCAAGCATTCTTTGACCATTTGGTGCCTTTTTTAGATGAAGCCATCCAGGAATCCATGTCTGTGAAAGACGTACTAGAACTTTTGAATGAACTGGTGCAATTCCTCCGCGGAATTTGCCCAGGAATGATTCCTATCACGATGCTCAACTTCGCTTATCTATTACAAAATTCGGTGAACAAACAGGAAAGGCAGCAATTTCTCACGGAACTTGAACTTGCCATGAAGTGGGAACTTTCACCAAAGTGGCGCGTTCTTTCGTTTTTGGAAGTCCCTGGACTTCTCTGGAAATCGTACAACAGTGTCGGCACCCCAGAAAAGAGATGTGAAATGATTTGTCGTGTGCAAGACATCTTCAAGAAATCCAGCAAGCTGGAAGATTGGGCAATGAGGAGACCTCAGTGTTTCGAACGCCGTGAAGATAGGATTACACGACGAATTGCTTGCTGCGAGCTGGAGTGGCTGGTTTCCCATTCCTCCCTTTCAACTGTGGATGCTGCTCTTGTATTTGACCTGAGCTGTGTTTCCTTACAAAGGGCGTCATCCGTGCACCATCTTAGGTGTTTTACGTTTTCTGACGTTCAAATCAGTGAAGATGGGGTTTTCACGTTTGCCTCTCAAGACAATGATACGGCATCAGAAGTATCAACTGCACATGTACCTGTCAGAGAGATTGGGTCAACATGTAGTGTTTCGGCACCTACAGAAAATGGCTCTCCAACCATGGTGCCACAAAGCGTCATTTTAACACCAGTTTTAGTGGCAAAAGAAGTGATTCAGTTCTTAAAGGGTGTACTTGCACAAGACGAAGAACCCTCTGAAAATGCCTTTGCGCTATGGGACCTTGTCTTAAGCAAGTACAAACCACTCTTTCGGTGTGAGGAAGAATGTACATCGGCTTATTCTCTTTTTGATGATTACATTCATGTTTTCCTGTCAATTCTGTCAGAAGCCTCGTCAATAGAACAAGTATTCCACTGGGCAAGAATAGATCCACATCACGCCTGCCAGTGCTCAAAGGTAATTTTGGAAGCTTGCAAGTGGAAAGGAGACAAGGCTGACAAGGAGGATCTCTTGAAACTTCAATCTGAAGTGAGCACAACCCTGGAGAAAATGCGATTAAGTAAACAGATAATACACAGAACTCCATTCGGGAACGTTGCTTTTTCAGTTCCATGCTTTCGCCATCTTAAACCACAGTTAACACACATGCGTAGTCTCCTAGAGAGCAGACTACCGTTTGAGGTCACAGCACGAATTCTTGCCCTCTACCAAGTCAATGTCCAAGCTGGAGTCACAGTCGGAGAGATCGTCTTTCCCTGGTCATGCGAACAGCAGTCACTGGAACTAATAGAAAACATCCAATCCTTTTATAAACAAGACGAGATGTCTTCGTTTAACCCCGCACAAAATGAATTTGCTTGGCAATTGCTAAACGCATTTGGTCGCATTTGCATGAACTCGTCTGAAGATCTTTTAGTCAGGTTGAAGGAACTGATTTTACTGTACGACCCAGACGATGCGTATGGTCTCAACCGTCTGCCCAAATGGCGAGAGACGACGATAGCAGACGGCTTTCCCGTTCGGGCGATTGACTCCTGGTGTGCAGCTTTCCTAATGACGCCGCTGGAAGACCTTACATCGCGCGATGTTGATGCCATTGTTGACCTCAATTCACACTCCTTGGGGCTTGTTACATCTGTGTCACAGACTATTAAAAGAGTCATTTTTCCTGACGATGGTTTTCAAGTGACACAAGGGAAAGGAATCAAAGAAAGTCTGATCAAAGAACGAATCCGGTTAGCAAGATTGCTTGGTGAGTTCATCAACATCCTGAAAGTACGAAAACCCGAGGAAAACCACAAAGATGCTGTTATCAGAGACATAGTTGTCGATGCTTGTGCTGAGCTTTGCGATAGTCATAAAAATAACCGAAAACGGAACGACCTGTACAAAATCCACGGTCAGAAGCTTAAGGCTCTATTCACAGAGATCTTCGGTAAGCGACGTAAGAGCGTGGATGGTCAAGCTAGTATTCAAGATTGCGGATTGGCACACCGAGGAGACGCACAAGCAGTGAGAGTGGCAGTATCTGTAGCAAGACAGTCGTCTTACCTGCACGAAAACCTTCCATCTGTGCTGTCGAATTCACACGTCTATGAGCCAATGCTGGTATTGTTGAGGCGTTGGTTATCAGGGATCGTCACTAAGCCAACCCTTGCCTCTCACACTCTTGCGATTGTTCAGCTACTGTTTTCTCTTCACCCCTCCAATGCGGGTCCCGATCTTCTAGAAGAATTGCACGGCATTATTCAGTCTCGCGTTTTATCCCTTGAAGAAAATCAGTCTCTCGTGGCGCAGCTCCAAGCAGCNATTACCTTAAGTACGTAGTATTGTTCCCGAGACTGGAGTCGATCTTCCAACTGCATTTAAACATGAAGATGAGGCTGTTAGAGAGGAATAAAGACAGTCACGTTATAAGTCTCTCGTGGGTATTAGTTTTACTGTCTTTCTGAATCTCCTGTAGCCTGTTACAGGCCTTCGTTTAGTTGGAAATTAACACGAAAAATGCCAGAAATAATCCATTTCAACGATTTCCCACTTGAAACATATATTCCATATCACTAAGAGCACTAAAGCAGCAATTTTCCAAAATGGCGGATGCTGGTAACATCGCCTGAATCTGCTTCCTCTACTCCTTTGCTACTACAAGAAAATTCTGAAATATTTGACCTACGTGATTCAAAATCGGTTTATTTTAAAACAAAAACAAGAGACATTTAGAGTGTCTTTTCAAGATGTTAAAGAATTTTTTTTGAGAATTTCTGGAAAGCCGGATATTTAGGCAATTTTATGCGTGACATTTGTGGAAAGGCTTATCGTGAAACTTTACCGCGTGCTGAAGAGGCTCTGTTGTTAATTCGAGTGTTCGATTTAATTTTGAAGGACAATATGGATCACGTAAGATAGTTAGTAATCTTTGAGCTGTTTTGGGCAAGAAAAGTTGGCAGCCAAGGATCCATCCGTCCTCTTCTCGGGCAAAGATGAACGAAGAGAGAGAAATATCATCCGAACTGTCAAACGGCGTTCTTCAGCAGATTCAGCAGATTGTGAAGCAAAATCCAAGTCTCCTTGATAAAGGTACAGAGGAGTTGGAGACTGTTCTAACAACACTGGCAGCTCTCCCCTTCAAAGATGAAGTCCAGCAGGCTAACTTCCTGGAACGTGTTCAACGTTTGGAAGGCAACCACATCATCCAGGTTTTCAATTTAGGCGTGTCGCCTCTTCAGGAGTATTTCCCAGAGTCTTCAGCCGAATTTCTTGAAGAAGTGATCAAGCTCTTTGAAATTTGCTTTTCTTTCTGCTACACCACTGACGTGTCAAAGCGAGTTGCTTTTGACTATTACGTCAGAGCTTTGAAATTCTGCTTCCCTTCGGAGCCAAAGCAATGCTTGTCAACTTCAGCTGTTTGCAAATTACTCGAACTTGTACAGATTTTTCAAGAAGGGAAGCTCGCTCACATTGCCAGTAACGAGACTGAGAGTCCAGCCAATTTAAGGAACTTGCAATTCAACGGAACCAGTTATCTGTTTGGTGAACTCCTGCAGATATTTGAATCCCGGCGACACGACGACTACCTTGTGGAAATTATCGAGCAAACAGTGCGGTTAGCTTCTGCAGATGCAAACGTAAAATGCATTCAACAACATGCAATCGGAGAAGTGACATTGCGGAACGAAAACGTGGTTTCTCCAGTTTTCGTGACAAATTGGATGAAACTTCTCAAGTTAACAAATGTGAGCAATGACTTTGCAGTCTCTTTAGCAAAAGTTGACCGCCTTCGTTGCACAGAGCGAATTACACCCGTACCATTCTTTTTAGTCGGCCTCATGTTACGAAGTAACCTTACTTACGAGTCCACCGTTTGCTTTTTTGCGAGGGTTCTAGAAGAAATGGAGAACGAAGGCGTCAAGGTTAGCTTCCCCAATGACAAGGACAGATTGGACATATTCTTCAACCATTTGAATCACTTCAACTGCAATGATCGTGACGTGACAGTGATATCACTAAGGCTATTGGCGGCTACGAGCATTAGCAATGGAGTTCTAAGAGAGGTGCTTGACAAGTGTTTTTACAAAGAGATGGTACCGCCGATAGAGGTTGTTGTTGGGAAAAACGCGTTGGAACTGCTCTTTAAAGTTTTATCGTTATTCCCTGACGGAGAAGTGGTTAAGAAAGTTTTGACGTTCTGGAGAGAAGCCTTTTCTGAAGATCCGGGTTTCCAAATGCTAGAATGCTTGTTGAGCCTCTTCGACGAGGAAGCATCAAACTGCGAAAGAGCTGTTTTACAGGAAAGGGCAGAAAGAACATTGGATTTCTTAGAATGGCTTCCTCTCCCCATAGTTCGTTTGATAAGCGTTTGGCACAGGTTCTTTTGCTGCTTTATAAGGATATTTCCATCTACGTTCCATCGGCGTGCAGAGGTATTGGTTTTTATTCACAAAGCCGTTCGAGTGCCAACCGAACAACGCCAAGCTTATTTCTTCTTTGAACAAGACCCCGCTCTTCCGTTGTTGGAATGGATTTCTCAGCAAAGCTGCACAGAGGAAATGAAGAGTGAGATGATTTGGCTTCTCATGTGTTCTACGGACAGAGCAGTGGGCCGCAACTGGGTGATTGATACTGGGGTCATCAGATCACTAGCCTTGTGCCCGCGGCTGCAATTTAGCACCAAGAAATACACTGTTCGCGAGCTGAATGAATTTGCCCCATTCTTCAAGGAGCTAGAGGAAAAGTATTTAAAAGAATTCGTCGAAAAAGTCCTATCTAATGAAACTCTTGAATTTATGGATGAACTCTTCTTTGAGTTTCTTCCCTTCATCCAGCGTTTCTTAGACAAGCAGAGGCCCAGCACCATCCCTACAGACGTCTTGAAACTTCTGTCTTTGCTGTCAAGAGTTTCAATTTCCGGTACAAGAAGAGTGAAAGTAATCCAGATGTCGAAGGAATCTGGAAAAGGTTTGCTGAGTGGGCTTCGCATTTTGCAGTTAGTTGAAATGTATCAATGTGTCGTTAAAGAAAGAACAAATGAATATTTTGATCTTCTTGTCTCTGTACTGGCTGAGACTCTCAAAGGTGACGAAGAATTATGTGAGATTTTTTACAACCAACATCGCTGCATTTTTCCTTCAACCGAAGTTCTAAAGGTCTGGACTACTTCAGTCGCTGAATTGATATCTCTGGGTTCGTTCAAAGAAGACACCGAATCGCGATGTTGCTGTCCTGTTCTGCAACGAGCTGGGGAATTTAGTTCTCCGTCTGAGATTTCACAAATTCTCACACAAGTAAGGTCAACTGCCGAAAGTGTTGTCCACTTGTCAAGCCAAGGCATAGTGAAGGCTCCAGCATCCCGTGATTTTCAACCTACTTCACAGGGGAGTTCCACTGAGCAAACCGATCCCCTTGAAAACTTTGTTGAAGCGCTCAGGATCATTCTGGATACAGATGTGTTATCGTCTTGCGAGAAAATGCTGCTGGTAAAGAAAGTATGTGACTACGTTATTAGCACACCCGATATTTTAACATCAACAACCTTGAGCAATGCCTTGACGAATTTGATCCCTTGTACGTCCTGGCGACAAAGTACCGTTTCATCAATTGAAGAGCTAGGCGTCAGCCAGGAGTGTCGTTGCATCGTAACCGTCATGGAACATCCCACAGAATTCTTTCAGCTGTCGCGCAGAATCCCATTCAGCTTAAACGATTCTCTATCTTCCGTTCTCTTCAGAAAGACTGCAAACTCATTTCCAACAGATAACATCGTGGATATATTTCTTTTCATTGGCTCACTAAAGGACCTAGATCAAGCATTCTTTGACCATTTGGTGCCTTTTTTAGATGAAGCCATCCAGGAATCCATGTCTGTGAAAGACGTACTAGAACTTTTGAATGAACTGGTGCAATTCCTCCGCGGAATTTGCCCAGGAATGATTCCTATCACGATGCTCAACTTCGCTTATCTATTACAAAATTCGGTGAACAAACAGGAAAGGCAGCAATTTCTCACGGAACTTGAACTTGCCATGAAGTGGGAACTTTCACCAAAGTGGCGCGTTCTTTCGTTTTTGGAAGTCCCTGGACTTCTCTGGAAATCGTACAACAGTGTCGGCACCCCAGAAAAGAGATGTGAAATGATTTGTCGTGTGCAAGACATCTTCAAGAAATCCAGCAAGCTGGAAGATTGGGCAATGAGGAGACCTCAGTGTTTCGAACGCCGTGAAGATAGGATTACACGACGAATTGCTTGCTGCGAGCTGGAGTGGCTGGTTTCCCATTCCTCCCTTTCAACTGTGGATGCTGCTCTTGTATTTGACCTGAGCTGTGTTTCCTTACAAAGGGCGTCATCCGTGCACCATCTTAGGTGTTTTACGTTTTCTGACGTTCAAATCAGTGAAGATGGGGTTTTCACGTTTGCCTCTCAAGACAATGATACGGCATCAGAAGTATCAACTGCACATGTACCTGTCAGAGAGATTGGGTCAACATGTAGTGTTTCGGCACCTACAGAAAATGGCTCTCCAACCATGGTGCCACAAAGCGTCATTTTAACACCAGTTTTAGTGGCAAAAGAAGTGATTCAGTTCTTAAAGGGTGTACTTGCACAAGACGAAGAACCCTCTGAAAATGCCTTTGCGCTATGGGACCTTGTCTTAAGCAAGTACAAACCACTCTTTCGGTGTGAGGAAGAATGTACATCGGCTTATTCTCTTTTTGATGATTACATTCATGTTTTCCTGTCAATTCTGTCAGAAGCCTCGTCAATAGAACAAGTATTCCACTGGGCAAGAATAGATCCACATCACGCCTGCCAGTGCTCAAAGGTAATTTTGGAAGCTTGCAAGTGGAAAGGAGACAAGGCTGACAAGGAGGATCTCTTGAAACTTCAATCTGAAGTGAGCACAACCCTGGAGAAAATGCGATTAAGTAAACAGATAATACACAGAACTCCATTCGGGAACGTTGCTTTTTCAGTTCCATGCTTTCGCCATCTCAAACCACAGTTAACACACATGCGTAGTCTCCTAGAGAGCAGACTACCGTTTGAGGTCACAGCACGAATTCTTGCCCTCTACCAAGTCAATGTCCAAGCTGGAGTCACAGTCGGTGAGATCGTCTTTCTCTGGTCATGCGAACAGCAGTCACTGGAACTAATAGAAAACATCCAATCCTTTTATAAACAAGACGAGATGTCTTCGTTTAACCCCGCACAAAATGAATTTGCTTGGCAATTGCTAAACGCATTTGGTCGCATTTGCATGAACTCGTCTGAAGATCTTTTAGTCAGGTTGAAGGAACTGATTTTACTGTACGACCCAGACGATGCGTATGGTCTCAACCGTCTGCCCAAATGGCGAGAGACGACGATAGCAGACGGCTTTCCCGTTCGGGCGATTGACTCCTGGTGTGCAGCTTTCCTAATGACGCCGCTGGAAGACCTTACATCGCGCGATGTTGATGCCATTGTTGACCTCAATTCACACTCCTTGGGGCTTGTTACATCTGTGTCACAGACTATTAAAAGAGTCATTTTTCCTGACGATGGTTTTCAAGTGACACAAGGGAAAGGAATCAAAGAAATTCTGATCAAAGAACGAATCCGGTTAGCAAGATTGCTTGGTGAGTTCATCAACATCCTGAAAGTACGAAAACCCGAGGAAAACCACAAAGATGCTGTTATCAGAGACATAGTTGTCGATGCTTGTGCTGAGCTTTGCGATAGTCATAAAAATAACCGAAAACGGAACGACCTGTACAAAATCCACGGTCAGAAGCTTAAGGCTCTATTCACAGAGATCTTCGGTAAGCGACGTAAGAGCGTGGATGGTCAAGCTAGTATTCAAGATTGCGGATTGGCACACCGAGGAGACGCACAAGCAGTGAGAGTGGCAGTATCTGTAGCAAGACAGTCGTCTTACCTGCACGAAAACCTTCCATCTGTGCTGTCTAATTCACACGTCTATGAGCCAATGCTGGTATTGTTGAGGCGTTGGTTATCAGGGATCGTCACTAAGCCAACCCTTGCCTCTCACACTCTTGCGATTGTTCAGCTACTGTTTTCTCTTCACCCCTCCAATGCGGGTCCCGATCTTCTAGAAGAATTGCACGGCATTATTCAGTCTCGCGTTTTATCCCTTGAAGAAAATCAGTCTCTCGTGGCGCAGCTCCAAGCAGCAGGATACAACCAAAGGCGCGAAGGTATTCCTGACCTGTGGTCGTCACTTGTGGTGGAGCTTCCTTGCTACCTCAGCAAGCGCGAGAATCCAAGCAGTAGACTATTCAAGAAAAAACTGACTGAAGTCCTGAGACGTCTTTGGCAGCAGTTGAAGGACATCCTATTCAGGCTTGGTCGCCCTTCGATTAAAGTTGGCGAGGAAGAAGTGTGTACGAAAGATCTCTTTGGTGTTCAAGCTTCTTTGGAGGAGATGGAGGAACAGGCTGCTGCCGTAAAGGAAGTTGTCCAGGAAATTGTTAAGCAAATTAACTCAGAAAACCTAGACAGAAGTGTGAAGCAGTTGATGCGTCAGGAACAGCGTCATCGAGCAAGGATTGAAAAACTCTACAAAAGCAACAAGGTGAGTGAAGTTCACTTAATTATTTACATCTTATTGCGTAGTCTGTTCTCCATGAGTGTTTGCTTCATGCAGTTCAACAGTTGCCTTCAACAGCTCAGTTGTGTTAACTGTAATTATTATCTATTGAACTCACTATCTCTTTTCTGATTGGCCGAAAGCGTACAGTGAATTTTCGAAATCAGTGGCTGTGACGTCATACCTGCAGATTACACAGTAATCATGTAAAGGACACTCAAGGTGTAATCATGTCATGTATGACCGTGGTGCATGATTTCTAAATGTAATCATGTCAAGTTCGCGCGCTTTGTGTTGCTTGCCGTCAGTGAAGAAGCAAAAACATGACTTCCATNTTATATACCACTCCTTGTGATTATTATTCATTGAACCGACTATCTCTTTTCTGATTGGCCGAAAGCGTACAGTGAATTTTCGAAATCAGCGCCTGTGACGTCATCTCTGCAGATTATACATACAATAATCATGTCAAGGACACTCAAGGTCACGTGTAATCATGTCAAGTTCGCGCGCTTTGTGTTGCTTGCCGTCAGTGAAGAAGCAAAAACATGACTTCCATTTTTTTCGTTCAATGTATAATAAAACAATTATTCGATTCGGTTTTTGTGATATCCAGAATAATCAAGGTCTCGGTAACGGTTATCAGCCGAAGCCGAAGGTGGAGGGTGATAACCCTACCTCGACCTTGATTATTCTGAATATCACAAAAACCTCATCCAATAATTGTTTATTATCACACCACTTGACGCCGACCAGTTTACTTGAGGCTGTTTTTTCCTTATTGTTTGTATCGTTGTTGAAAATAGCGTGTGACTTTTTCTTACATTCTCTGGCTTGTAACCTGTATTCAGCGTGTCTCAGATTCTTGTAAATAAACTCCATCATTGCTGGCGGCTCCCTCCACTATTTGTTGTATTACTTGTCTCCTCTACTTATAATAGAAATGTTTTCTATTCGGCTGAGCGAAGCGAAACAGAGTAGAATTTGTATTATTACTGCAATGCTTTTGCACAGTTTGCTGTCAACTCAAGGAGGAGAATATATCGTGAATCCAAATGAATGAATTACAGTAACTCAAACAGATGCGCTTTTCACATCATTAATACTTCATCATAAACTGAATGATCATTTCCACTTACAAGATGACTACATGTAGTCTCACGTTTGCAAGACAAGGGCGTCATTTTTCGCCCAAAAAGAATGTCTTCTTTTCACAGTGATTTTGAAATAATTAAATTCTTCTGAAGGCTTGATCGCTGAATTCGAGAACTGCGAATATACTCACACCGAGAAAGAGGCCATAATTTCCACCTAGATTTGTTGAAAGAAAACTGGTAGAATCGATTACTGGGTCGCGTACTCCTTCTGTCAGTGTTTCGTTTTAAGCGTAACTTTTGAAAGGTCTGATTGCATTTGCATTTCGCATTGCGCAATTACAGAAATTAGCTCATTACTTCACTATTCCTTTTGCTCCATTTCTCTCACTAAAAATAGCGCAGGTTGATTCGCCAGACCCGGTGTTACCAAAGTTACTTACACGCTAGAGTCCATGTCTGGAGCACTGGACTTTGTTCTATTTTGTTGTAGCTTAGATCCTCAAAGTATTTGTCCAAGGAAATAATGCTATCACTGTAAATATTTAAAGAAATAGTGACTTTTGTAATTAATTCGGAGCCGAGGTTAAAACCCATCAAATATTTCGCTTGTGCGCAGATGGCCTAAGCGCGTCACATGACTGACTATGCCCCAGCTACGCCCTACGCCCTTCTCGGAACTAGGGTACCGCGAGATTCGTAGGTAAAATATAAACTCATTTGTTAATCCACGTTGTCCTCGGCGTCGCCGTCGTGGTTTCTTAAGCTCCCTAATGTACGCGGGCAATAAGGAGCTTAATCAAGCAACGACAACGGCGACGCCGAGGACGACGCCTAGTAAAATATGAATTTATATCAGCGAAATT